CCCCCCGGGGAGAGGCGGGCCCCCTCCTCCCCCCCCCCCCCCCCCCACTTCCTTTTTTTTTCCCTGCATTTACCTTCCAGTCACCTTGGCAATGGCTTCTCATTCTAGTATTATGGGATAGTGTTAGAAGGAGGTGCCCTTCCGAATACTTAGGTACCTCAGGCAGTACCACACCTTTCCCCTGGAGGGCAGCAGTGGGGGGGGCCCTCTGCAAGTGATCCCTTCCTTCCCTCCCTGCATTAGGAATGGCGCCAATTCACTCTGTGGGTAGAGCAGCGAGGGCGAGTTACCAGCCCATGCGGGCATCTGCAGGGGGTGGCAGGCGGGTGTTACTGCAACACTCGCGAGCGCATGCTCTGCTCAGCATTAAACAAGCTTGACGGGGAGAGACAAGCCCATGGGTGGAAGAAGAGCTGCTCAGAGTCTCTCCAGGGCCCCGTTCGCACAGTAGGCGTTAAAGGGTTCTGGCTTAGGGACCGTACATTTCCACTGCCCAGTGGCCTGGTGCCCCAAATTAAGTAGGCAGATGCTGTAATTCTCTCCACGCCAGTCTGGCTCCCAGTCAAGCCACCGGCTCTCGCCCACTCCGCCCTCCTGCCTTCCTCTGGCGAACGCTACTAGCCCCGCAGATCTAAGTCCCCCGTTCCGAGCATGGAGCAGGGCCTGGCCAGCTTCCCCCGCACTACGTCCTAGTAGCAAGTCTCCTCCCGCACCTCAAGGGGCTGCCACTTGGGGAGTGCCCTGGGCACTTCTGAATACCACAGAGAGCTGAACGAGAGCCTCATTTAGGGCCTGATCCTTTGCCCAAGGAATCCATGGCAACATTCACTACTGGCTTTCAGTGGTGCAGGATCGGACTCTGAGCAGAAGCCATCAGGAGATGGTGGCTTCTGTTCATTCCCAGCCCTGCACTGGGAGCCAGCAGCCAATGGGGACAGGCTCTGTGTCCCCCGCATGGCGCCAGAGGGGCTGGCACACAGCGTCTCAGAGCTCGCCGGCCAAAGGCCAGGCAGGAGGACCGTTTCTTCCCGCAGCCTCGCCAGCTACTCACAATCTGATCTGCCCGGTCGACAGGGCACTCGTGATCCACAGCAGGTCCAGGGCTTTGAAGGGCACCAGCACAAAGCTGACGTTGGCAGGCAGGTTCTTGGCACTCTCTGGGTACATGAAGTGATGGGTGGTCCTGCCCCCGACGTCGGCTTCAAACCCCACCGTGGGGGCCTGGTTCATTCTGCAGAGAGAGCAACCATCTCGTGACCGTCAGGTCATTTGCACAGAACAATTGGCTTGGTTAGACACACAGGGCAGCAATCCTGCTTCAGCTAAGTACACTGCGTATGTGCTTCGTAATCAATGCAAGGAACCCTTTCCATTCCCTCCCCCGCTGGTCAGTCTCCAGCCGCCGTGCTGCATTCATCGAGGGCTCTGCATTTATTTGAGGTTGTCTCCTCTTCTCTTTAAAGACTTTTTTTAAAGACATCCCAGCTATGGTCCTGCAGGGTTCAGAACTCACCGTCCCGAGCCAGCACACCTCCACCTGCTCCGCTCAGGCGCACAGCCAGGGCCCGAGCTACAGCCACGTCAAACACCCACAGCAGCCTTTGAACATCCCCGGGAGTTTGGGGAGCTGAGCAGCCAGCCCTTAGCTGTAGCTGTAACAGTGTCAGTGGGACAGACAGAAGCAGGACTGCAGTCCAGCAAACATGTACCCAACGCCACACGGGAACGCTGCTTTTTAAAGCCATAGATTTCCACTTGGGGGCAGGGACTAGCTCACGGTCGGTGTTTGTACAGCACCTGGCCCAGTGGGGCCCCAACCTCAGCAAGTTCTAGGAACAGGCCCTGCCAGACCGGACCAGGCCAGGGATCCATCCCAGTGGAGAGCAGCCTGTGCTAGATGCTTCAGTGGGATGAGCAAGAGACCCAGCCCCAGGGAACGCGTTTCCCAACTCCCAGTATTCCCCAGTGCAGACTGGCTCTACGGGCCAGGGGAAGTGACCCTGGGAATTTAAAATCCCCCACAAAGACTGGCTGAGTTCTAAATGAGGGCAGGGCAGGGCAGGCCTACAGAGCGATCTGAACCCTTGGGAAGATGGCTCCAGTCAAACAAAATGTGGTAAATACACCCAAATGCAAAGTTATACACCCAGGGCCAGGACTGCAAGGAAGCCAGATGGGAGACTGTGCCCTAGAAAGCAGTGACTGAAAGATTTAGGGGCCACATGAGCTCTCGTGTGATGCTGTGGCCAAGAAGGCTCGCACGATCCTTGGATGTACAAGCAGGGAAGTAGTGGGTTGGAGCAAGGCGGTGATTTTACCTCGGAACATGGCATTGATAGGACTGATACTGGAATCATGCATCCAGTTCTTGGGTCCACGTTTTAAAAAGGATGTTGAAAAATGGCAGAGGATGCAGAAAAAGAGCTGGAGAAGACACCGTAGAGCGAGAGAGTTAGAGCTCTGTCTGTTCAGCTCGTCAAAAGGCCGATTGCAAGGTGACTAGATTAGCGTGCAGGTACCTTCACCGAGAGAACATCCCTGGTGCTAACAGGGTCTTTAATCAAGAGGAGAAAGACCGAACGAGAACCACTGGCTGGAAGCTGAAGCCAGACAGAAATTAGGCACAAATTGTTCCCAGTCAGGGTGACTAGCTGGTGGCAGTGGGTTCTCCAGCTCTTGATTCCTTCAGATCAAGGCTGGATTCCTTTCAGGAAGATCTCATCAAAGTCAAGTTATGGGGTTTCATACAGGGCTATCTGGGTGCAATGTAATGGCCTGTGATCTAGCTGATCTAATGGTCCCTTCTGGCCGTCAATGCTATTAATATAGGAACTCAATGGCTCTTCCCATCAGCAGTCATGATGTCACGTTTCTCTTGTGACTTTGCTCTCTTCCACCATCCAGAGCTCCTTGCTGCACTGTACCACATCACCCAAAGTCCAAGCTGCATTTCACCACTACGTGGCAGCAGTGAAGCAGGAATTGGACAAGGAGCCGGTTTCGGGAGAAGCCCCGGCTGCACGCATTTCTGGCCTGGCTTGCGGCCTCAGTAGTGAACATCCTTTCCAGGGTGCAACTGTCCCCAAGTCACAGACCGATGGAACGTGACGAACCCTATAAATGTTCTATTACACACACGACAGGAAACGCCCCAATTACAGGTGCCTGTGCAGCCTCCCGCTAGCCCCTGGCGATGCCAGCTTTAATGACACGACCACTTTCCGTGCAGCAGGCCTGGCTCATTTTGTGCCCAGGACGGGGCAGTGCTCAGATAATGAACAGCTATGGACAGTTCAGACTGCAATCCGCCGGCCAGTAACCACTGCCCCCCAACCAAACAGTGTCAGAGGCTGCTGGCACGGTGACAGGAGTTAGCACGGACCCCTGATCGAGCCATAGCCGGGGACACACAGGCCGGCCTGGAGAACGTTCTCCGTGAGCTTCCCTGAGGCTGGGCGATTAGAGACAGGGCAGCAATAGAGGAGTTTGTCAGCGTCAGGAGCTGGTTTCTGGAGCAACGTCCTAACGGAAGGATCGATACAATTCCGCTGGGGCAGTGAGACTGCAGCGAAGGTGGAGCTGGACCAATTCCTGCCTCCTGCAGCAGCTGCTGCATTCGGCTCCGGCCCCGCTCTCGGCTAGCTATGTATGGGCAGGGCCCTACCAAATTCACGGTCCATTTTGGTCAATTTCACGGCTGTAGGATTTTTAAAAAAAAATAATAAATTTCATGATTTCAGCTATTTAAAATCTAAAATGTCACGGGGTTGTAACTGTAGGAGTCCTGACCCAAAAAGGAGTTGTGGGGGGATCACAAGGTTATTGTTGGAGGGGGTACTGCTACCCTTACTTCTGCGCTGCTGCTGACGGGGGTGCTGCCTTCTTAGCTGGGCAGCCACAGAGCAGCAGCTATTAGCCTGGCGCCAGCTCCGAAGGCAGCACCCAACAGCCGCCGCCCTGCGGCCGCCCAGCTCTGAAGGCAGCGCAGAAGTAAGGGTGGCAATACCACACACACCCCTAAAATAACCTTGCAACCCCCCTGCAACTGCCGTTTGGCTCAGGACCCCCAATTTGAGAAAGGCTGGTCTCCCCCGTGAAATCGGTATAGTATCGGATAAAAGCAGCAAGAGACCAGGTTTCCCGGGCTAGAGCAGATTTCATGGTCTGCGATGCGTTTTTCATGGCTGGAATTCGGTAGGACCCTACGTACGGCGCAGGAAGAACAGCTTGATTTTCAGACCCCAAGCGGAGCTGGCAGTTCCAGCGAGTTTTGTTCCGGCGTAGGGGAGCGAACAGCGTCTGCCAGTCAGAGGGAAAGTAAACAGCAGCCAGGCATTTCTACAGCACCTTCCATCCCAAAGGCTCCCGGGGGCTCCACGAACCTTGACACGTGCGGCGCGGCGCCACTCACAGGCGGCTGCCACAGGACAGAGCACGCTGGGCTGGCAACAACCTGCCTAAGAGCGGGTAGAGCAATGCACACAGCGAGGGCGGATTCTGGTCAGTGAGGCTGGGTTAGCCTCTGCACGGAGGCAGATCGATGGGACCAGTTATCCAGGCCGACTCTCCGCTGCAAGACTGGGCTGGCATTTGGGGGAGAGGCACATTCCTGATCACAGCCCTACTTCAGAAGTTATTCCCAGAAAATGACACTGCACAATCTCAGTGCCTAGCACCCAACGCTTGCTGCAGAGGAGCCTGGAGGCACAGGGGTGGCCTCCCACGTGATCCAAGGAGCCCGGATTGGTCTCAAAGCCCTCACCTGGGTTTGGATACTTTTGGAGCCATAATTCCCCATGGCTGCGAAGCGCCAATGTTTTTGAGAACCCTGGGTCAGCATTAACTTAGACAGGGACCTCTCCCTGCAGCTGAATGTTCCCAGCCCCACATCTTCTCCTGCCCCCCACTTCCCTGGCAGAGCAGCAACTCCACGTGGGAAGCCAGTCTCCAAGGGCCTCCCTCCTGCATATAGGAGACCCCGGCCCAAATATACCCTCCCTGATCCAGTGCAGTCCCAGGGCCCCCAGAATCCAGCCTCTGCACAAACACAACCCGCCGCGTGCCAGCAACCACAGGGCCCGGATTTATGGATTCCTGTGTCGGAGGGTGAGCTCCAGCGGGCAGAGGACAAAGCCAGCAGGAGCGATCACAGCGGTAAGACAGCAAAGGCAACCGGGCTGCATCCAGATGAACCGCTGGCCAGCTTACGACAAGTGAGCGTTCCTCCTGCTAGCTGCGAAGGGAAGCGGGGAGGAGAGTCTATGACAGGGCCAGTGATGCGGCCCTAGCTACGCTATGGTGCGGAGCCAGGCCTGGCCAGGGAAGGGGTTGGGGAAAGGGAGGAGGGTGTCCAGGTGTCTGACAAGGGCAGGGGAACAGCCAGGTGTTCTAGCTACTGCTCAGGGTCATCTAGTGACCAGCACAAGGACACTGATGAAAACAGACAGCGAATGGCTGATCCACCTGGACCATTCCACCAAAGCTCTTGGTAAGAGGCCTTCGGGCTTTCCGAGAGGGGAAACCAGCATGCAGAGGGGGGTGCGCAGCAGTGGGGTCTTCAAAAGGGTCCAACTGACTTAGGAACACCAGCTCCACCAGGACTTGTGCTCCCCAGGTGATTCAGAAGATCTGAACCCGTCCCCCAGAGAGTCAAAGGGCTCTTGGGCCTGTGTGGGCAATTGCACCTGGCTGTTCTGATTTTTGGAGCAAAGAGCGTGGATCAGAGAGCAGAGCTGTCTCAGGTGGCAGCTGGTCTGGGAAGCGAAGGCCGGATGGAAGGAAGGTCCTCCCAGCAGGGCTAAACACCCTGGAGGCCAAAACGCCCAACCACTGTCTACCCCGCAGCCCCCACCAGTGCTGCCACGCACAGCAAGTGAGGGATCCCTGGTCCCTCTAGTGCAGAAATGGACATCGCGGCGGGGAATCAAGAAGGAAGGAGGTGGGAGACCTCACCATGAAGGTGGATGAGCCAGTCCCAGATCAGCCAGCGGCCTCCTGCACCGCCCTGGCCAGGGGATCTCCGCCAGCGATTTCGGCACTCAGCTCAGCTTGTCGCGGGGTCTCGAACCCTGGACGCGTCTCTACTGGTGATCCTGAACATTGCAAGTAGCCGACTCTTTCCTCCCTGCGCCTGCACTGTGCCACCAAAGCATGCTGGGAAACCTGCCTTCCCACCCCACCCCACTGGGGGCGGCCATGGGGAAGCTGGGTACACAAGAGATTTTATCGTTCCACTGTTTCAATGATCAGAAACAGAAAGGTCTTTAAAAGAATGGAGAAGGATTGTTCCTCCCACCACCGCCATTTACTAACCAGGGCCTGAGTCCTTGGCTTGAGCCTCCCAGTCGGGCGGAGAGCGAGGAGCAGCCGCCTTCCCTTGGAGCTGCTGGGCTCGGGACTCAGCCCTGGCCCCACACCTGGGCTTGTGGAGCTGCCGTTTCCCAGGTTGTGACCCTGGGCTGACAGCTGCTGGACGCGGCTCTCACCGTCATGCTGAGACCCCCGGCTCGGGCCTGCAGCCACGCTACAGAACAGGGCTTGGACCAAATCACAGCAGGACTCGGGCTCTGACTCACCTCCTGGCACGCTCCTGTGGCCTGTGATTCGTGTGTGGATGGAAGGGGGTGTGGGCTCAAACCTGAGTCACAGCCCAGGCTCAGTGTGCAGTGTAGACATACCCAGGGAGGCTGCGACCTGACACTGCATGTGCTAAACACTGCAGCCGCCTCTCTGCACACCCCACTCCCTGCTTTCCAGGGCAGGTCCCAGCCTGGCTGTCCTGCGTTCGTCACAGAGACGGCCGCTCCCCAGGGACACGACAGCTCCCGACACACGCAGCTCTTCCCCTGCCCAGCAGCCATTTCCCGAGACTGGAGTTAATGAAACAAGAAGCCCCGGCCTGGGGAGGGCGGTGGAGACAGGACTCAGCCTGCACAGAGCCAGGCCCGAGAGAGAAGGTGCCCTCTGAGGACTTGGAGGGGCGGGAAGCTGCTCTGAAATGCAGGCAAGAGCAGCACGTGCAGACAAAGCGCTTTCACCTACTTTGCTCAGACATGATCCAACGCGAAAGCCGGCCCAGCGCTCAGATTGTGCCTCCGTCCGCAGCTCGCCGCCCCACGGGAGCCAGCCGCACCCCCTCCCCAGCGGCGCCGGCCACCCACCTCATGATGAAGTTGTGCCCGTCGATCTCTCGCCCGTAGCCAGAGCCGCGCAGGTTGCCCGAGTTGCCCACCACAGCGCAGCGCCGGCACTTCCTGGGGTCGCGGGAGCCGTAGGGATTCTCGCCCGGCACGATCTGGAAGAGCTTGCCCAGGACTTCATTAGTGTTGTGGGACTTGAACTGGGGCTGCAGCATCTGCAGAGACACACAAGGGCCAGTGAGACGTCAGGTTTCTATAGCACCCATCTCCATGGCACCCAGCCCCAGCCACCCACCTGGGCTAGACAGTCCTGCTGCCAGGCACTGCTCAGACTGCGCCCATTGGCCTCCAACTGGCAGCCGCTCCTGGGGCACTGGGCAAAGGAGGAGATGGTGCCGGCCTTACCAGCAAGCTCCTGTGGGCACGGGAGCAGCATGAACAACGCTCCTGGGACAGGACCGGAGACCCACAGTGGTGGTGGGGGAAATCGGAGGAGAAAGGAAGGGGCAAGATGTTAATGCAGGGCTGGGCAAACTTTTTGGCCCAAGGGCCACATCTGGGAATAGAAATTGTATGGCAGGCCATGAACGCTCACAAATTGGGGTTGGGGTGCAGGCTCTGGTTGGGGGTGTGGGCTCCAGGGTGGGGCCAGAAATGAGGAGTTCAGGGTGCAGGAGGGGGCTCTGGACTGGGGCTGGAGCCGAGAGGTTTGGGGTGCAGGAGGGGGCTCCGGGCTGGAATCGAGGGGTTCAGAGGGCGGGAGGGGGAATCAGGGCTGGGGCAGAGGGTTGGGCCGCGGGGGGAGGCTCAGGGGTGCAGGCTCCAGGCAGCGCTTACCTCAAGTGACTCCTGAAAGTAGCGGCATGTCCCTTCTCTGGCTCCTACACAGAGGCACGGCCAGGCGGCTCTGCACGCTGCCCTGTCCACAGGCACCACCCCTGCAGCCAAGGCCGGCTCCAGGCACCAGCTGAACAAGCAGGTGCTTGGGGCGGCCAACGGAGAGGGGAGGCACGTCCAGCTCTTCAGCAGCAATTCGGCGATGGGTCCCTCACTCCCTCTCGGAGTGAAGGACCTGCCGCCGAAGAACGAAGTGGCGGCGATAGAGCTGCCGCCGAAGTGCTGCAGATCACAATCGCGGCTTTTTTTTTTTTGCTGCTTGGGGTGGCAAAAATCCTGGAGCCGGCCCTGCCTGCAGCTCCCATTGGCTGTGGTTCCTGGCCAATGGGAGTTGCGAGGGCGGCGCTTGGGATGGGGGCAGTGTGCAGAGTGGAGCCCCCTGGCTACCCCTCCGCGTAGGAGCCAGAGGGGGGACATGCCGCTGTTTCCGGGAGCCGAGTGGAGCGGCCCCCACCCCTGCTCCCTGGCTGGAGCACCAGAATGGGGCAAACCCCAGATCCCACTCCCCAGCGGGAGCTTGAGGGCCAGATCCAGCCCGCGGGCCGTACTTTGCCCACCCCTGTGTTAAAGGAACAGCAACATATTTTCAGTCTGGGCCAAAGACTTCTGTCCCGCCCAGCAACCCCTGTGCCTTTAAAGACAAGGTCAAAAGTGCAAGACCTTGGGATGGTTTGATCCCATGAGCGGCTCACCAGTCTGAAACACAGCTTCAGCATTAGGTGGGCTTTGCTGCAGCCCCCAGGGCACACACCAAAAATAGCCCCTAGGGGATTACTCACACTGCCTGGGTCCAACCCCCGGCTGGATAACAAGCCAAAGCAGTTGGCACACAACTGCCACACATCAGCCACTGCTCCTCCCACTCAGAGTCTCTCTCGCAATTGGGGAAGCCAGCGTGAGCTGGGCCTGGCTGAGATGATGCCCGATGTGCAGCTCGGGTCTCTTAAATGCTTTGAACGGACTGCAAGACTTTGCATTTAAGCGGAATCCTTTTGAGACAAAAGCGTCTTGGAGAACCAGCAGCATCACGTTTCAAATTCTTTGCATTTTTAACTATGCGGTTTCCTTCCCGGTGTCATTTACATTTTGGCCTGGTAACGCGGGAAGGCGGGGTGTGGTTTTGTCGAGTTTGTCTTCTGAAGATGGAGCTTACGACCAGGATGGTATTCTAGGGTTGTCTGTGACCCTTCCAGACCACGTTCTTATGTTTGAAAGCTCTTTGTTCGGCACCATTAAACAGCAACACAGAACTGACAGACTGGATCACACCCAGACCCCATCTAATCCACGTTCCATCTCCAGCAACTGCAGGGACCCCGGGGTGGGCAGCCATGGGATAATCTGCCCCCCCATGAGCTCTCCTCCTGGTCTCTAAGCCCATCGTCTTGCAGTTTTGTCCCCGCTGGGACAGCAGAACTGACCTAATGAAGTCACCCCCCTTTCCAGTGCACTGCCCTGCCAGTGACAGCAGGCTGGTTTGCCAGCACTGCAGGGGAAGTTGTAATGAAACCCATCGCCAGCCAGACGGAAGAGCGTCGAGAAGGACGGGTCACATAGTGCTGTCAGCCTGCCTGGCGCTTCGGAGACAAGTGAGACGATGAGGGACCCAATTCTCACTCGCACTTCGCTCACTTCCTTATTCTTGAGTTACATCCGCACACGAGTGGACGCGGGCCCACGCTGCTTAAAAACACAATCACTCTGGAGGGCAGGAGGGTCTAATGGACGGGGCACCAGGCTCGGACTCTGCAGATCTGGGGTCAGCTCCCTGGCTCTGCCACAGACTCCCTGGCTGACCCTGGCCAAGTCTCTTATTTCTCCCTGTGCCACTGGTTTCCAGCTATAAAATGGGGATAGCGCTTTACTGGGGTGTTAAGGAGGAACTCTGTGTTTGTGGGGCTCGGGTACTGCAGGGATGCGAGTCCTCACAGGTCCCAGCCAATGATTTCAGTCCACGTTGCCCTGAGAGCATCTCGTATGAAGCACCTGCCTTGTTCTGCCCAGCAGCCGAACGCAGCAGGCTACAGAAAGGGGGGGCGGAAGGGCAGCTTGGTGCGGAGAGCCAGAGTGCTGGCTCCGAGACCCCCCACAGGGCAGCGGTGAAACATGCGGTTGTGCCGGCCGATGGCTCCAAGCCCAGCCTCTCCCATCCCTGCAGAGGGACGCTCTCCCGAGCTCCCACCCATTGGCCTGGCCCAAGAGCATCGTCAGCTTTTATAACAGCCACTGAAGACCCCCCGGATGGTAACAGTTTGCAGGACCAGCTAGGTCATACGGGAGCCAGGGACTGCCGTGGAGCAGCTCCCGATTCCCATCCCCCCACCCCAGGGTGGGAACTGTCTCTAGGAGTAACACTGCATCAGGGCAATCGTCAATATTTAAAGCGCCCGATGCTCCTGCTCCCATGGCTAGATTCTGCTGGGCGAATAACCATCCCGAGGCACTCTCCGCTCACAGGAGACACGGGCTGGAGTGAAGAGGGTCAGTGCTAACCGAAATTTCCAAGGACCCAGCCAGTCGTGCCAGGGCAAGTGAGGAGGACTCTATTGTCCAGGGGATTAGGGCACTCGCCTTGGATGCGGGACACCAAGGTGAGTAATTCAGACAGAGTGGGATAGCCTGAGAAAACTCCAGCCCAGAATAGACCAGTGGCCAGGGCTCCCTGCTGCAGTGGGGAAGAGCCAACCTCAAAGCCCTTCTCCACATCAGGCAGTGTGGGGGGGACATGAACCCAGATCCCCCCTCCCTGATGAGTATCCTACCCACGGGACTAAAGCTCACAAGGGTGGGGCTCCACCCCGGCCGTTTTGGGACTTGCTTGCTGTTGGCAAAACGCCTGAAAGTTGAAACTAAAATGCGCGGGTCAAAGGAAACATTTTGCTAAAGGAGACGTTCCAGCTTCTCCCGTCTGGTGGAAGCGATTCAGGGAACTCGGCAGGAATTCAGCAATACTTTGGGTCAGCCCCAAACGTCCTTTTTCAGCAAACAAACCATTCAGCTGAAAATCACCACCCAGCCCTACCCGTTCGCCAACCGCAAATCCAGGGCTAGCGTAGGGAGAGTGGTGGAGGCGGCGGTACCGGTGGGGAGGCGGAGCTTGCCCACTTCTCAGTTAGGAGCCTAGATTAGTTTATCCACTTTTTTTTTTTAAAACCACTAAGCCACGGGAGCAGGGCTCTCGGGGCCCAGAGCCAGCATTGGGCTCAACTGCAAGAAGAGCGGGGGGACGGAACGAGCCCCTCGTGGCGGATCGAGAGCCCACGCACCATCACAGCTGACGGGGACGGGCGGGGAGCACAGGGGCTCTCGTGGACTCCCAGAAGGGACGTGGGAGATCCCAAGGACGAGAGCTAAGACTCTCCCGCTAGCTCGGCCTCAGCTGGGCCAGCCAAGGCTGTGCCAAAGCAAAAGTGGCCTCTCCATCGCACAGCCCGGCAAGCTCGGCCCAGAGCCGTGCAGCAAGCGGCAGCAAAGGCTGCGAGCCCATGGACAGACAGGGCTCGTTACCCAGAGCTATTGGGCAAGCAAGGGGCTTCTGTCTCCATGCCACCTCTTGGCCACTAAGCCTGGAACATCAGCTAATGGCCCTGACAGGAGGGGTGGGGCAGGCCCCCCCAGTACAGGCAAGGAGACGAGTGGGAAGAGCAGGAACACCGCCCCCCCCCCCGGGTCCCTGCACAGCTCAGGCGCCAGGGGACAGGCCTAGCAGGAGAGAGACCCGGTCACCCCCACAAAACAAGCCAGCCCGTTCCCAGACAGCAGCCAGGCCGAGATGTAGGAGGCTGACGCCTCCTTCCTTCTGGAGTGGGGTGTAGCCGCCAGGCCCCATTGCAAGCTAGGCTGGCCGGGCTGCTCTGGGCACAACAAACTTTTGGTCCATGGGGGCCTAGATGCACCGAGCCCCCTCAACTCGGCAATGGCTACACGCACTTGGCACTTCTGGAAGAATGAAAAGCACAAGCTGGCAACTGACAGCTCCCCTCCCCCCACCTTGGCAGCTGCATGTGGGCATCTGGACGGGCGGCAAGCTGGACAGCTGGCGTGAAACCCAGAACCAAGGCATCTGTGTGTCAGGGCCCCCAATTTGCCGGTGGCACATGGCACCCAGCAGCAGGGTGGCTGCGGGCAGCAGGCAAGGTCTAAAAAGCCTCGTTTTCACGTTGGCATCGCCTTTCCCACGGAAAAGAATCTCTCTGTGCACAGGCAGCAACACCAGCAGCAGAGATCCCCTCGCTGCCCCCCATGCCCAGCAATCCCTGGCATCTTAATTGGGTTTCAGGACATCTGCCTCACACCTAACCAGGTGCTCCCACAGCCCCCATCATCTGCATGAGCACCAGGAACGTGCCAGGATTCTCTATCCAGGGTAACAGGGAGACGGGATCTTTACTTGCTGCACAGTTAAAGCACACGAGACTGGATGCATGTCTCCAGAGCAGAGGGGATCTATCCCTGACAGCACGTGCTAGGAACTGGGGGCCAGGGGAGGCGGAGCCTTCAGCCCACGTGAGCTGACGTTCTCGGGGTGTCCCCTCCCCTCCAGGAATACATCCATCTCCCTGCGAGGTGGAGTTCACTGCATTTTAAGTTGGGGGAAACAGAGGCCAGAAGAGTGACTCACCCAAGGCTAGGGAGCAAGTCAATGGCAGAGCTGGGATGGGAGCCCAGGGGTCCCGATTCTCTGCTGCCGCATGCGCAGGGGTGTGATTTTACAGCTGTGCCGGCAGGACCGAACGGCAGAGCTGTGCTTCCTGGCAAAAGTGACTTGATGAGAGGCGGGCAATGGAGGGTCAGGTCCAACTCCCAGCTGTGCTGTGTGCACTAACCACTAGACCGCACTGCTCCCTGCAGGCTAGACACGGGAGCACCCCTACTTCCCCAAACTCCACCCTCTGTTCAGTGCACCCAGCCCCAGGGAAGGCAACGGGGCTGCACAGGGGTCACGGAGGCAGCGCTCAGCCTGGGAGATTGCATTATTAGGGGGGCATGAGCTAGGAGGAGCCCAGTTGGGCTCAGCACCAGCGTGAGCTCATCTCATTGCCAGATGGCCAGGGCTTGTTTGATTGGGAGGCCCCGAGAGCCTGGCAGGCCATTTGCACAGAGACACGTTGCAGATTAGACCTAGGCCGCCAGCAGGCTCTGGGCCCCTAGAGGGGAGTGGGTCAGGCATTCGAACAGGCCTCCCGGGAGGCCAAGCAATGCGGCCTGCCCAGCAGCAGTGCGGCCTCCGGGTGGGCGAGAGGCTGCAGGGACACAGGGGCCGGGGGGAGCGGGGGGAGAAGGAGGAGGAGAGGAAGGGGACTCCCTCCCAGCGCGAGTGCTTGAGATCCACCGACCCACAGCCCCCTAGCAGGGGCTCACTCACCATCCACCACCTCTGGACATCCGGCAGAAGGTCCATGTTCTCCTTGGTCCACACCGGGGAGATGTTGCTGTCGTAGTGGCTGGTGAACCACGCCAAGGCCCCTGCGTCCTCCGTGCACCTGCGGCAGGCGCACCCCTCCCCGAGGCGCCCGCCCTGGCGGAGACGCTGCATGCCGGCGTAGCCGGGCACCAGCTTGACCCGGTGGAAGCCGCCCGGGCTGTCGGGGTCCAGGTAGGCCATGCTGGGGTGCGAGTACGTGAAGAGGAGCGACATGACGAACACTAGCAGGAAGGCGGTCGAAAGGAACCAGAACCGCAGGGAGCACTTCATGGTGGAGGGGGGAGAGGAAAGGACCACCCTGCCGGGGCGGGGTCACCGGGTCCACCGGGCTGGCTGCTGACGTGCCAGCCGGCCTGTGCCGACAGTACGCTGCCCACCCTCTCTGCGGCAGCGGCAGAAGGGCATAGGGCAGGCTGGGGGGATGCACAGGGCAGGGGGGAAATACACTGGAGATTGGCACAGCGATGCGTCCGGCTCCCCAGGGGCTCTTTAGTCACCGCAGGTGCAGTCACGCTCTCTGGACGCCACAGAGCCCAGCTGGGTCCCAGATGCTCCGATCCAAGCCAAGGCGGGGAGCGAGGGAGCGGCTGCAAGTCCGGCTGCCAATCCCCAAGCCCTGGATTAACAAGCAACAGGAGCCCTGGTCTCTCGTGGGCAAACAGCTCCCCTCTGCCTAGGGCCCCAAAGGGGAGCCGTACTCCTCATCTCCTGCAATGCCGCTGGCCCGGGGATGAAGGGAGCAAGTCTTGGTGCGCGCAGACCCAGGGTCTAGCCCCTTGTCGGCCGGTCACCTGCTGCACGACTCTGTCCAGGAGGGGGAAGAAAAGCGCATCTCAGGGGGACTCTGCACAGGGGGCTAGAGCCAGGTTCCCGCCGCGCCTCGCCCGCACCTGGCTGGCTGCTGCTTTCCATCAGCGTCTCCTCGCAGCTGAGGGGGCCTCGCCGGCTCCGGTTGCCTGGGAGACAGCTGAGCTCTTGAGGAGCTCCACATCTGGAGCGGGGCCCGGGAACAGCTGCAGCTCGGAGGGGGTCTCTCGGCGGCCCCCCCCCGCCCCCGGGCCTTGGGCGCAGCTCCTGCTCAGCCCTTCCACATGCTCTCAGGAACCCCCAGCTGGCGTTCAGCTGCAGCCTCCCTCATGCTCTGCGCAAGCCGGCCTTCCCCGCTGCGTGGGCCTTTCAATAATCCCCTGGCAATCTTCCCCTGCCGCTCGGCTGGAGGAGCTTCTGCTGTGACAAAGCCCTGGAACTGCAAGGGGGCAGGGATGGAGGAGAAAAACAGAGATTTAAAAAAACAAATCACTAACAGCAAATAAAAACAAACTCAACTGCTAAACCCCACAGAGCTGGCCACTGCCACCACGAGCCTAACCTCAGCCAGGGGGCAGCTGGAGCCCAGCAGCCCACCTGGGGCTGGTGAAGCAGGGGAGAAGCTAGATGAAGATCTCCATGAGTGGTCAGGGAGAGTCCTGAAACATGCCCCCTTCTCCCAAACCTCCCCATGCTCCATCTGAATGGACGTCAGCCTCGTACATGGTACGCCAGGTCCTCTCCGGTGGGAGAAGAGGAAGGGACCCCCCTGCTCCGAGACCACTTTGCATGGGTCTCTTCTTCAATTTGGCACCGTGAGGTTAGAAGTCCCCACGTGAGTCAATCCTGGGAAATCCCCCTCAGACCCCCCATCACAAGAGACATTGCATGGTTAGGTGCAGTTGCTTGGAGAGGCCCAGGGCTTCCACAGCAGGGGTAATGCAAGCCAGGCCGAGCTATGTGGGGAGCTCAGCCCAGAACCAGAAGGGGGTGCTGCAAGGTCAGAACAGAGGTCTACCGACAGCTGTCTGGGGGAGAAGCTGGTGCTAAGTGGATCATCTCCTCTGTGCAGGTAGGTGCACTGTATAGGGAGCCTCTTGGTGATGGGCCAACAGTCAAGATGAGCCACTCACTGCCTGGAGACCCTCCCCCATGCCCAGACCCCACGGGGCCCGTTGGAGCCAGCAGGCCCTGCTGCCACCAGAGTCCAGGTTAGAGCCGTGTCATCAACCTGCACAGATAGAACGCTGCTTCTCTGGGCTAGCTCGCGACCGCCTCTAGAGGGTCAGTGGAGTCCCTGCGGCCCCTGGGAGGTGCTGCTCGGGGCCCGACAGTCAGGGTGGAAAGGACAGCCATAAGACCATGCTTCTTTACCCTCCACGGGTTTGCTGGGACACAACGTGAACCCGCTCCTCACACTCCTTTCCCCGCTCCACCTGGAGGCTGCTCTTCAGGCCCCCACTGCAACACCTGAGGGACTAGACACACTCAGAAGCAGGCCCTGACCCAGACCCACAGGACTCAACCCCCCATGGCAGCTTCCAAGACGTGACCAGCGTTTCAGGTGGACCCATCCTTGCCAGGAGGAATATCCCTGGCTCTACCAGGACAGACTGCCTCCGCGCCAGGCCAAGCCAGAGCAGCCACTGGCACAAGCAGGCATGGCCTCGCCGAAGGGCTGGTTACAGATCATTCCAGGGAAGGCGCTGCCCATGCACAAAGCAGCTCCGGACTGGCTGAGGGAGGGATGAGCAAAGGTTAAGGTGGCTGCGTGGCTCAGGATTAGCAATGGCGTCTAGGCTCTTTCACTCCTAGGTGGCCGGTTCAAGCCTGGCTCACGCCAGTGGCCACCCCACCTCAGAGCCTTTTGGGTGATCTCAGTCCAGTTCCTCCTGCATTTGAGAAGGGAGCGCTCTCCTCAGAGATGCAGGAGGCCCACGTGCAGCAATGAGAAGAGAAGGAGTCAGGGGCCAATCTGGGACTCTACAGAATTGACCCTCGGTCTCCACCACCACCAGCTTCCTGTGGGCAAGTGGCTTGGTCTATGCCTCAGTTCCTCATCTGTGCAATGGGGACAACAGGCCTGCCCTCCACACATAGGCACATGAACCACAGGGGACGCTCAGATACCAGGGTGACAGGAGCAAGGTAGGTACCAGAGGCAGAGGAAGGCTGGGCAAGTGGTGAAGGTACAGGTGTGTGGGAGGGGTTGGGGCATCAGGAGACCCGAGTTCTATTCCCAGCTCTGCCAGTGGACTCCCTGCGCAGCCGCCTCCAAAGCACTAGGGATGAGTAATTCCCGCTCCCCCGCACAGGGGAGGGGGACATGCGAGACAATTTCTATCCGTGAAGTAAATCACTGGTACAATTCATTAGTATCTTAGTAGAGCACCCAGATGCCCCAGTCACGGACCAGCACCCGGCGGTGTCAGGCGCTGTACAAGGATGCCCTTTGCCCCCAAGAAGATTCACCAATGGACCGTGCTGGAGGAGTGCAGAGCCTCTGTTAGGCTGGTGTGATGCCCCTGCCTGGGGAGCTCAGCCAGCGCGTATCCAAGCACGGTCCAGAGGAAATGGATGCATTTCTGATACAAGGGACAAGTACAGAGAGGTGTGTATAGAGCAGGGGTGGGCAAACTATGGGCCAGATCCGGCCCGCCAGCCGTTTTAATCCGGCCCTCAGGCTCCCACGGGGGAGCAGGGTCTGGGGCTCGCCGGGGAGCCGCAGCATGGCCCTCCTCCAGCTCCTACGCGTAGGGGCAGCCAGGGGCTCTGCTCTGCATGCTGCCCCCACCCCAAGTGCTGCACCTGCAGCTCCCATTGGCCAGGAACTGCAGCCAATGGGAGCTGCAGGGGCGGTGCCTGTGGACGGGGCAGCATACAGAGCCGCCGGGTCACTCCTCTGCGTAGGAGCCCGAGAAGGGACATGCTGCTGCTTCCGGGAGCCACTTGTGGTAAGTGCCGCCCAGAACCTGCACCCCTGAGCTTCCCCCCGCACCCCAACCCGCTGCCCTGATCCCTTTCGAACCCTCCAAACCTCTCGGTCCCAGCCCAGGGCCCCCTCCTACACCCCAAATTCCTCATCCCCAGCCCCACCCCAGATCCGCACCCCCAACCAGAGCCCTCACCCCCTCCCACACCCCAACCCCAATTTCGAGAGCATTCATGGCCTGCATACAATTTCTATTCTCAGATGTGGCCCTCAAGCCAAAAAGTTTGTCCACCCCGGTATAGAATTTCATTTCATGTGTTTGCCTACAGGCGGTCAGTAGGGGGCGTATTTATACCTGCCTAGTCTCTTGTGGAAGCAGATGCTTCTCACCTAGCGAACTGCGGTTCCCGTCTGCGAGCAGTGGGCAACATGACCTTTCAGAAAAGCCTCCCCACGGCACTCTGAATCCTGCTGCCTCTTGCTTTCCCTGATGCTGGACTGTGCAAGCACATGGGAGGAGCCTTCTGCGAGGGCCGAGGCCCCGAGCGCTGTCAGAGGCAGAGCCTGCCAAGGCTTGCAATCAATTGCTCACAAACCCAGCCAAGCAGAAGATGGAGAGGACAATCTGTTCCACTGCATTGCCTGCCTGGCGGCAGTGCCCAGGTGAGCGGTGCCTCTCTGGATTTCTACCCTAATGTGGCCTCACAGGCTGATAGACTGGCAGTACAGGGAATGTAAAGGCAAGTTCAGTGCATGGGTTATCGGAGACCTATGTTCATTCATTGCAGTGAGCCAGGAGATGCATCCCCCGCACTGCCAGGCCTGGATACCACCTTGGGCAGCCTCAGTCGGTGAGCCACAGCTGGTAAGATTTCGGCTATTAAGGCCTGCCTCCCCTTCAGCCCAGGCACTGGCAGGGCAGGAGTGGGCCCTGTGGACAGCCCCCTCAATCATCGGGAGCCGCGTGACTTGCTGCCAGAGACAAGGTCTGGAATTCCCAGCTGGATCCTGGCTTCCAGGCCCAGAGCAGATGGGCTAACGGGATGAAAGCAGGAACGTCCCAGGCAGAATGGGAACGAGAAAACCCAGCACTTGTGGGACCTGCCAGTGCTCTCAGTGACACCTGCGATCACGGCTGCCAACGGGTATCAGAGGAAGGGAGTTTAAGCTCCTTTTCCAGTTGGCCATCTTCACACCTGCGCGTTCCCGTGCTGAGTGGTTATTGAGGAAGTTCTGATCTAGTTCCAGTTCCGGCACTCAGGACTTAGCTGACCCCCTGCTGCTGTGTGTTTGGCTGCCTGTCTGGGACAGGCTGCGTGTCCCACTTGAAATGTTATCCTAAGGTGAGTCACCGTAGAGCACAACCAGAACCTGTCCCCTAACGCGCAGCAGAGACGGGATTGGAATTCCATGGACCACATCCAGCATGGGTTCCAGATACAATGTGCCGATCAACGGCACTACGAGCTTGGAGGCTAATGAGTTCCCTAGAGTTCGAGCTGGGCCAGCATAACCTTCCCCCACGCTGCACCTCCCACTCCCCAGCAATGGGCCACAGCCCTCCCTAGAGGGATCCACCAGTTTCCACAGCAATCTTGTGCCCCCTGAGCTGAGGCCAACAGCGAGGAGGTGCCAAGGGTGGCATTTGCTGCAAGTCCCCGCATCAAGACCCCACTTCCACAAAATCATAAGCCACCTAGGAGCCAGACAGCCACAGCTTTCCTCCAGGCAGGGCCGGCTTTAAGCCGATTCGGCTGATTCCCCGGAATGGGCCCCGCACCTAAGAGGGCCCCGCAACGTCCGGGGCTGCCAGCAGAGCGGGGGGAAAGAAAAAGCCGCATCCTGCTTCTCTCCCGTCCCTTCAGCGCTTGCACCGCCGTACAGCTGATCGGCGCAAGCCTGGGAGGGAGGGGTGAGGAGGAGGAATGCGGCGTGCTTGGGGAAGACGCGGGGCCAGGGAGGGGATTTGGGGAGGGATCCAATGGGGCAGGGAGGGGGCGCGAGACAATTCGCGTCTGGCGTGGGGCCCCGCACCTGCTAAAGCCGGCCCTGCCTCCAGGTCAAGCTGGGCTGAATTCAGACTAGCCACTGAGAGGTCAGCGGCACCGTATCCCCATTACCCATCGCCTCAGAAGACAGGGCCGGCTCTGGCTTTTTTGCCACCCAAAGCAAAAAATGTCCGGCCGGCCGGAGCAGCTGGGGGGGGGGGGGGAGGAGGTAAACAAACCTGCCCCCAGCCGGAGCGGCGGGCGGGGGGACGACAAACTGGTCCACCTGCTGGAGCAGCGAAGGAAAGAAAAAATAAAAACAAACAAAAAATACCTGCGGGGCGGTGGGAGCGTGGGTGCAGAGGGACTCCTGGCCCTGCAGACCCCAAGCAGCGGAGTGCGCACCCCGGCTAGCGGGGGTGGGGGGGAGGGGAGAACGGAGGGACCAGGGCTCCCTTAAAGCGGGGCGCTTGCCACGCGGCCCCGCCCGCTGCGCCGCCTGCTGGGAGGGCTCCGTGCCGCTCCATTCAGCAGGCAGGGAAGGACGCGGGCTGCCCTACCGGGCTTGCTGCAGGGCGCTCCCCTCCTCCGCCCCCTACAGGGCGGCGGGAGCAGTAAATCAAAAAGAAAAAACCTGCAGGGGCGGTCAAAGCGGTGAAGCGCAAAACAAAACAAAAAGGATTTGCTGGAATGCCACCCTTTGAAATCTGCCGCCCCAAGCACGAGCTTGCTCGGCTGGTGCCTGGAGCCGGCCCTGTCAGAAGAGGCCATGCGACAGTAATGAGCCTCTGAAAATACCCATGCAAGTGGCTTATTCATTGTGCTCACCTAGCCTGACCTCCAGCAGAACACAGGCCAGAGACCTGCCCACAATCACTCCTAGAGCAGAGCGTTTAGAAAAACATCAACACTTGATATAGCTAGTGTCAGTGATGGAGAATCTCCCATGTCCCTTGGCTAATCGTTCCAGTGGTTAATTGCTCTCGCTATTAAAAAATTACACCTTCTTTCTGGTCTGAATTTGTCTAGCTTCAACTTCCAGCCATTGGATTGTGTTAGACCTTCATCTGCTAGACTGACGAGGCCATTATTAAATATTTGCTCCCCATGTAGATCCTTGTAGATTATAATCAAGGCATCCCTTAACCATCTCTGTTAAGCTAAGCAGACTCAGGGAGCTCAATCTATCATATAAGGCAGGTTTTCTAATCCTTTAATTGTTCTTGTGGCTCTTCTCTGACCCCTCTCCAATTTATCAACATCCTTCTTGAATTGTGGGCACCAGAACTGGACACCGCATTCCAGCAGCAATCGCACCAGTGCCAAATACACAGGGAAAATCATTTCTGTACTCTTACTCAGAATTCCCGTTTATACATCCCAGGATCGCATTAGCCTCTTTGGCCACACTGTCGCCCTCGGAGCCCACGTTCAGCTGATTATCCACCACACCCCCCAAGTCCCTGCTTCCCAGGATAGAATTGCTCACTGTGTAAGCATGACCTACATTCTTTGTTCCTACATGTACACATTTATATTTAGCCATATCAACATGCATGGGGTTTGCTTGGACCCAGTTTACCAAGCCATCCAAATCTCTGAATCAGTGACCTGTCCTTTTCTTTATTTACTACCAATTTGTGTCATCTGCAAACTTTATCAGTGATGATTTTAGGTTTTCCACCAGTGCATTAATAAAAATATTAACTAGCCCACTGGAAACACACCCATTCAAAGATTCCCCATTTACAGTTACATTTTGAGATCTATCAGTTAGCCAGTTTTTAATTCACGTAATGTGTCATGTTTATTTTATATCATCCTAGGTTTTTTTTAAATAAAAATGTTGTGCAGTATCAAGTCGAATACCTTACAGAAGTCTGAGTATAGCATGTCAGCATGACTACCTTTATCAACCAAACTTGTAATCTCATCCAAAAAAAAAGCTATCAAGTTAGTTTTACAGGATCTATCTTCCATAAACCCTGGCTGATTTGCATTAGTTAAATTACCCTCCTTTGATTCTTTATTAAAATCGAGTCCTGCATCAGCCATTCCACTATCTTGCTTGGGGGCAATGTCAGTTTTCTACAATTCCTAACATCTGATTTATAATTCATTATTATTAATTTCCCTTTGCTGCCATTACATATCCAGCTGCCTTCATTTCCCATTTAAACCAGGTCGTTGTTTTTAAAACCAGCACATCCTTCTTCTCTGTTTGGGGCTATCTGGGCATCGAGCGTGTTCTCAAATGATTCCCAATGGTCATTCACATTTTTCTGATTCAATTCTTCCTCCCATTTGATTTCTCAGCTATTAAGACTCATGCACCCTTGTTGATAGTCTAGAAAGGCACCATGGTACCATAACGGAAAGGATATTTGCAGCTATGAGCCCAGTCTTGTAGCCCTGGCTCATGCAAGGAGCCCCATCTACGCCAGTGGGGCTAGTAGTACAAGAGGGTTTGCCAGGCTAGCCTGGACTCGGACATTTCCCAGCACTGACAGCTACGTAGTGATGAGCTGTCTCCCATCCAGTCACTTCCGCTGGTCTCCCCAAGGACCTGCTTTTTCTTTTGACTTGGCTACGCAAGCCAGCAGGAGCTCCACGCCAGCAACGCCAGACTGGCATGGAGCGAGAGGCAGAGGCAGCTTGCAAAGGGAAAGGAAAAGAGAAGCCATGCTGCGGATGTAGTCGCTTCTGACCTGGAGGCAGATGAGCTGTGTATGAACCAGGCAGGCCCTGGCATATTCCGCAGCAGGCAGGTGCAGCGCCAGGCAGTGGTTGTGGGGCACATGGGATGCAGCCTTCACATGGACCCCAGGAAACGTTGCCTATCTAAACACCTCATTACTCTAAAAAAGCCCCGCCTCAGATCAAAGCAACCAATCACAGCTTCCCTGGGCAGGAGGGCACCTGCATCGGGGCCTGTGTTTAAACACAGAGCGTGTGAACTGGAGCCAAAACAAATCGACGTGGGGAGAAGGGGGAGCCAATTCAGACTGAATCCCTCCCAACAGCCCCAGCTGCCTCACTCACCTCCTCAGGTGGCTCCTCTAGCCATTCAGCGGACCGCCTGCTCACTCCCGCAGCTCTTGGTGCAAGCCCCCAACCCTTCCGCTACCTGCAACAGAAAAACAGCATCAGCACTGGCTGCCAGCTGCTGCGGTCCACAGTTCTCGCAAGGCCTAACCCAATGGCTCTCCAACTCCGCCGCCATGCAGGGGAGAGACCATAGCCCCTCCCGTATCCTCCTGTCCCGCCCCGGCTCTCTGCTTCATTTCACAGGCCACGCTGCGCTCAGACCATAGCTAGAGCCACTGAGCTAACTGGGCCCGGAGTCATTTCGGAGGCAGATTGTCCCCCCTCAGTTCTGCCATCAGCGATGAGGCTTGGTCTGCCAGGCCCCAGGGCCGAGCTCCTGGGGGCAGGAGGAGAGGCAATGCCTGGCTCAGGGCCCAGACCTTGCCCCCGGCCGCTCTTGCAGCACATCTCTGGTCTGGCGTCTCCACGGGATGGCCACTGTCCCCACGGCAGAGTTCATCCTTCCCTGCGTAGCGACCAAGTGAATGACTGCATGTGCAGAACGCAGCCCATCCCCATCCCTTTGAGGGCAGGGCCCTTGCTCTCCCTCTGTGGCCTGCACATCACTTCACCAGCCAACCCCCAGCCCCATCTTAGGGGCCACAGCTGCTATTCCAGCCCCTCCAAACAGGGCTCCAGGCCCAGGGGGGCCTAGAAACACAGACCCCGGAGCCCTGCCTACAGCACCCCTCTGTGCAGCTGTCTACCCAGAGCTGGCACGGAGAAGCTCTGCTCCTCCCGGCCACCCTGCCCAGCCCCCTCTGGACAGGGCTGGAGCAGCACAGAGCACTTGGGATGTGTGAGCACTGCACCAGGAGCAGGACTTCCTGGAGAGAAGGTATCATCTGTGATTCCCCATGAGACGTGGGCCGCTCTCTTTACGGGGGTCCCTGCCAAGTTTCCCCAAGAACTCCCCTCTAGCTCTCCTGCACAAGGTGAGAGGAGAGAGTCACCTCGGAAACCACCCAGCACCACCCATGCTGCAGGTGTTGGCACCAACTCTTGCCATGGCCAGGACGTTTCTTCCACAGCCCCTCCCCGGTGACCTTGCTCCTGCTCTGGGGACAGGCTGCTTGTAACAAAGTAAATACAAATGAAAGGGGAGGATGTGCGAGCACGCCGGCTGAGTTACAAGCAAACACTAGCGCAGAGCTCCTTAGAAAGCCGAGTTAGTATTTCCTCATTTCCTCTTCCCATCGCAGCCCGCAAGTGCCCACATCCTGGTCATCTGAGCCACCACGTCTCCCCAGCACGGGATGGCAGCGGCGCATGGGAACGGGCTTTGCCTCAACAGTACTTTCAGCCCCGGGGGAACGCCGACCCTCCTCTGGCACGTGGAGCCCGGGACCAGGAGGGCTGCCCAGAACGAGAGGGCAGAACGCTTTGTGTGGCTTTGCAAGGACACCAGCAGCAGGGTGATCTTGGTCCCAATTCAGATTTTGTAAAAAAAACAAAACACACCAATAAAAAGCTCCAGATCGACAGAAATCCTCGAAGGAGATGATTTAAAGAGCGATTCCAAAGGAAAAACATCCCGTGGCAGCGAGTGAGCCAAACATCACAGCACTGTGCTGGTGCATGAGATCGGGGGGTGGGGGGAGGGAGGGGAAAGAGGACTAGCTCATTTCCCCTCCTCCCCCTCATCACCCAAGCTGAAGAAGAGGCAGAGAGGGGAGGCAGCACAAATAGCCAAGGAATCGGTGTCTTAAAAAGGGACACGGCCCTGCTAAGAATCTGATCATTTCAAGCCCAGTCCTTGAAGCATTTCCTGAGGCACACGGCCGTTCCAAATAGGTGCAATTGCATTGTGAGGCCATTATCTCTGGAAAGCCTTTAAAAATCACAGCCTGTGATAAATCTCCTGGGAGCAGCTCAGCCCTTCCCCGCTCCTATCAGGCCATCTTTCTTGCAAGATTCACAGGGGCCCTTTGCAAGGTGGCAGAGAGTTGCTCTCACCAAAACACGGCAGCGGACAGGTCGCGATAACCTATGCCAAGCTGATCGTGTCCGGATGTTACATGCAGCGTCCGTACATATAGGAGACCCAGGGAAGGGAGAGCGGCTTTGACAGCTTGTGCTATTCAGATCAGAGGCCAGGACACTGGGTAGAATCTCTTCGTGCCGCTGAGCTTCAGAAATTTAAACAAGAGACAAGGTCATTTCCAGATTGGACTGTCAACAAGCTGTTGCAACACCCTGCCAGTGCTGGACAAGCGACACTGCTTGCCAGGCTGCCTCCAGCTTAAAGCCAGGGCTTGTTCAGTCTGCCTGATGAAGCAAAGAATCTGCAAGGGTCTCTTCTCTCCTCCACCCCCCAATAGCCCGGAGGGTAACAGAGCTGCAGGGGGCATCAGACTCCAGTTGCCCTCCACACTTCCCCACCAAGGCTCCAGCCTGCAGGTTGGGGGCGCGTCCCATAGGACCTATGGATCCACAGCTATCGTTTTGTTTAGAGCACTTGAGAAATTAAGACATTTGCACAAAAATAAATGTGACCTGATGCAAGGTCCGGATCCAGTCTGTGGCCGAGCAGAATCCCCTGGCTGGTACCCTGCGAATATGGGGAGTGCCAGGGTGAATGCATTTCCCCAGCAGTCACAGGAGGTCACTTCCAGGCCTAAACACCTGTCATGTCACCATGCGCCAGCTCTAGTGCTCCACTCCAGAGGTGGTTGCATTTCAGTCCTGGGGAAGGAACTACTGCATCTCTGTGGTTTGTAAAGTGCTCTGGAGCTAGGATTTCTCAACCAGGCTTATTAAAAACAGAGATTAGGAACCAGTTATTCCTCCCAAACTCATTTAATCTGGCAGCTGGATCTGATCAGTGCTCTGACACTAGACACAGGACTCTGTTTAACCCCTTTGCTAGAGGGCTAGGAACTTGCTAGGCAGAACAAGCCATCGGTACCCTCTGCACAAGAGAGTCGCAGGGGGATTGCATGCACCTGACCCCACTGTTCGGCTGAAGCCCCCTCTCAGTCACAGGCATGGAGGGACAGCTGCAACGGGCACCTCCTTGAGACCCTTCTCCGGTGCAATGGAGCTAGAGCGATATGGCCCCATCACTGGTTGAGCGTATGATTTGGTGCTGGGAATAGTGGGGAAGGGACAGAAATGCTGCAGCCCCCCCCTCCCCCCCGTTGTCCAACTACAAGCCTTGCACTGAAGCCCTGACCTACCCCACAGGCCAAGCAGTCCTGTTAAAAACGGAGGCAGGGCCGAGTCAGCTGCCCCTTCCCCACACGCCTCCTGGTCTGTTGTCCCACAGCTAGAAGTACAAGAACATCAGAGATCTCTTCCACGAGATGCCTTCAAGAACATGCGCTACAAAGCCAGCGGCCTCCTGGCTGTGGTCTGGTATCCAGCACCTGCCCCCCAAAAAGTGGCAGAGTCCTAGTTTCTCAGAGTCCATCCAGTTCTGGGGCGGGATGTAGGGTGCTTGTGGACATCAACGCAAGCGACTTGCCAGGAGTCACACATGGGCACTGACAGCTGGCTTCTTTACCACACTCAGAACCTGGTGGATACATAGCATCTCCGAAGCATTAGACAAGGGAAAGGGGCCCATTGCCTTAAAAACAGGAAGGAGACCACCTGCGCTCACCTCCGATCAGGTTCCAGCAACAGCCCTTGGGTATCTGTAGTCCCAGTGCCAGAGACCCAGCCGTACACTGAACCCATTGGGGTCATAGTCCTAACTCTTCTCACACACCCACTCCCTGAAGCAGGGACTGATCCGGTCAGAAGGCTGGCCTGGATCCAGGCTGCCCAAATTAGATTCCTCGGACATTCTTGCGATGCCCCACATGAGACCAAACGAGGCAATGTCCCGTTATCCACAATCCCCCCCCCCACTGCCCAGCACTCGTCTCCAGCTCTAATGATCTCCTCTGCTCCTGGCACAAAGGCTTATGCTAATACCACTGATCCGATCAGCTTTTATTTCTGCAGAACAGCTGAAATCTGCCTCCCTCGCTCCCTCCCCGGTAGGCCTGTAAGTTCCTGGAATATGCTCATGCAGCCCTAATCGGCATTTATTTTAATCACATTAAAAAATGATTTATGGATCCAAGAGAAAGCCACAGAAGCCAGGTGGGCGGCCGAGCCAGGATGGGGCTCAGCCATCGTTCCATGCTCAAAACATTCCCACACCCCGCCAGGCTGAGCCCACGGCACTGGCCCAGGGGGTCAAAGGGAACAGACTGGACGGAGACAGAACTTCCCGTTAGTCCCATGGCCATTGACTGCGGCCAGGACAGCTGAAGCTCTGCAGCTCCTCCTCAGCATGCAGCCCTGACCTCCCTCCCAGGATGGGTTAAAGAGGAGAGGAAAACTTTCCTCATCCCACTGCAGAGGGGACCGACACCCCCAAATGCGGGCCAGCTTGCAAGGGACACCCGAGGACGTTGCCAGAGTCCAAGAGAGAAGCACGGTCTGGAGGCTGCACGTGGAAGGAGTTTGGATTCAAGGAAAGGGGACGGGTGGCGATATGGAGGGCGGGATCTATTGGTCTAGCATCTTAGGAATTAGCCATAATGCTCCAACGGAATCAGGACGAATGTAAGGAAATTACTGCAATACAAAAAACGAACAGATTCAGCCCTTCTCCTGAATTCAGATTACACTAACCCCCCGCCCAACCACACACACACACACTTTAAAAAAGTGAAGCCACAAGAAAAATTCTGTAGAAGATTTGACCCCTACAGAAAATTAACTTCACACAAATTCTTTTCTTGTTTTTACCTGGGTGACAGCCAAGAGGAAAACTGCCTGTATAATCCTAAATCTTACAGCTCCATAATCAATGAGCTCCTTTGTGAGCAAATGAGGCAAAAGGTTTCTGGGCCAAGATGGGCGATAGCCACGAGATACAGAGGGACAGGAAAAGACATGGCCTAATAAATAGCATGGCAAATCGTCAACCTGGTCAAACCCACGTGGCTCTCAAAACCAGCACTGCGTCTTTCAAGATAAACCAGCCTCATTGTTTGAGGACCGAGAGCAATGAAGGTTCCGCCCTGGCTTATTCTTCAGAAT